TATATATATATATATATATATATATATATATTTTTTTTTTAGGGATGAAACAGTTTATCTAATTAATTGTGAAATTAGTAATCCATTAATCATTAAGTATAGAGTATAGAGACTGTAAAGCAGTAAGAGCAGTAATTATACCAAGATTGTCTGTCAATATTCTCTATCCAGAACTACTCAAGTGGAAAAGTTTTAGTTTCACCTGGTATAATTTAGTAAAAAAAAAATCTTCTTTAAAGGAAGAGTTTTCTTTCTTTCTCCTAATTGTCAATCATTCTGGTGATATGTTGCTGCGATAGGGCTGAAACAAGTGACTAATCAGTTATTGAAATAATCGTCAACTAAATTAGTAATCAATTAATCAGTTACTACAGTATACATAGCTGTAATTGCTGTAATTACATCATTTTAAAATAATATCTAAACATTTTGCATTTAAGATTAAAATTTTTTTTTCGTCTGTCAATATTTAATTTAGTAAAAAACTATTTTCGTTACCTTTGGCTATTCGATTATTAATGGATTACTTGATAAAATAATCAACAGATTAATCGAGTGTGGTAAGCTACGGTCATTGAAGCTTGCATTTCTCACCGCGGTTCTTCGAAAATGGCCGAGACACAACATAAAAAAGAATAATATTGATGCATCTTTTATATAATTATTAAATACTATTAGCTACCCACCAGCCCCAAGGTGGACAATTAGGAAATTCTTAAATATTAAATTAATAGAAAAAGAAAAGAAAAATAAAAAACTTACATTTACTCCAACCAGGTTTTAACCGATGTTCTCCTCCATATTCAAAGCTGTTCAGTTAGACAGATAACAAGACAGATTGGTTTATTTCACTTTTAAAACTATCTAGATTTTATTTCATTATCATTTTTAAAATTGAGAAAGATTCTATCTATATTTCTATAAATGTAGAGATTTATTATTTGTTAACTCACCACACTCTCTCCAACTTCTTGTCATGATTCTCAACTATTGCAGAGAGAACACTGATCCCTTTGTCACCAGGGTGATTGTAACTCAGATCCAGTTTTTTAAGAGAGGAGATTCTGTTGGACTCAATTGCTTTGGCCAAAGATTTGCAGCCTTCCTCTGTCACCTGGCAGCCTGCGAGTCTGCACAAAGACACCGATAGTTTCACAATATAGGTACAGCTGAAAAACTTTAAGATGTTACAAAAAATGCGTCAATATTTGTTATCAAGGTGAGTTCTTTCAGCTCTCCCCTTTTGGGGTCATCACAGAAATTCCTCACAATCTGCACACAGACTCTATTGTTTTTATGTCAAGTGACCTCTGAACTCAGATCCCCTGTATCTAAGACGCAGGCTTAGCATCCCAAATCAAAGAGAAACTTCAATATTAATCACTCATTTCACAAAAGTAAACTCACACATCATTTACACTTACACTCACCTACATTACAGATTTACATTAATTAGACATACTGCAGGACCTGATCCCTAAAAGAGTTTGTGTTGATAAAAACACAAACTCTATGGCTTGTGCAAAGCTAATGCACTAAACAGATGCACATTGAACTGCATGTCTAAAAGGAGAAAAACAGCATATTCATCTCAATAAATATGTGAAACATATATTGTTGATCCAAATTCACCAATCAATATAGATATGGAAATATAACTCCTTACGTCTGGCAAAGAGATTGCTAGAAGAAAAACCCTATTCAGGAGCTGATTTTCTAATGCCACCATGTTATATTTGGTGAGACAATGGTGAG